TGTTGGAGGAGATGAGGCACCATTTTAACAGATAAATTTCTTTCACAATTTCAAAAAACACACTTTCAACTTGTTTGTTGTTTTTTGTGAAGACAAGAGAAAAAAATAAGCAGGAAGTATTTATTCAACCTAAATTTACCCTTTGTTGTCTTTCTTTAAAAAAATAAAAAATAAAAAAATCCTGGGCTTACCATTGTATGAGATTGCTTACCAAATCATAGAGCCAGTTCTCTCCTCAGACAGGAGGCATGTGTTGCCACATGTAAAGGTTGACATTGCTCAGACCAAGAGCAGGAGCTTTCATGTTTTTTTTTCTACTCTGCTTTTTTATTTCAAAAATTACTGAACCTGACTCTGTTGACATTCTATAGTGTGCAATGTTTATTGGTCCTTAGTTACTTCCTATGCACAGGTGTCAGAAAGGCGTATTGTTAAGACTGGGATTGTTACTCTATTGCTGATTTAGGCCTTCACTTGTTAATGCACAGGAATTATTGACCGGGTGCGAAGGCCCTATTTGTAATTAGGCCCCCGGCAGCACCCTGAGCAGTGCCAAAGGACCTTATTGTATTTTCAAGGAATTATGGTAGTTATTTTTTTATATAGTTTACATAGTTTTTGGAGGCTTTCCCGATGGCTCGGGAAAGCTCACGAAAATCTTGCGGGACAAAATTTCAAACGTGGCGAAAATTCACGTATTCTTTTGGTAACTGCGCGTATTGTTCGGCCACGCAAATGGCTAAGCCACGCCCCCCCGGAATCAGGCCCCAGAGATGTGTGCGAGCCGACATGTACGAAAATTGCTCACGGCCATGTGGTATCGGATGCTCAGACAAGCAAAAAAAGTCTATTGGCAGCCATACTCCAAACGACACGAAGTTCAAGCCATTTTGGATTTCTGGTAATTTTCGGTTGATTTTGGACATACCTCCTCCTATGGGCAAGTGATCAGATTGTACTTCAAATGGCTTGGTCAGTAAACGCTAATCATTGATTAAAAGTCGTTGCCCTATTTGTGCAGCTGGTGCGTCAAGCAGTGTGCCCGTGCGAATGGTGGTCCAAATTTCGACCATTCGGCATTAAAAGAGGAAAGCTCGTTCGTAACTTCAGCGTTTCACATGAGCATCTCAACGAAACTTCACACATTTGATAAGAGTCCGCGCCTGAACACGTCTACATGGACAATATTCAGCTCATACTCATAGGCCTACCGGGCTAAATGTTTTAACTTTCATGTTTCTGACTCCTTAGCAGATTGGACAGATCCAGCCTGAAGATTTGGTCAGAAGACCCTTAGACTGTTGACAATGACATCTTATGAATCTTATGAATTTTTATTGAATCTTGTTGCCGTAGCGACGGAGCGAGCATCACCTTGTTGTTTAACAATTGATTGCATTTTGCGGGGGGGCTCAACAAGTCTTGAAACTTGGCACACAAGTCCCACATGGCAGCATTTTACATTTCATCTGGGTGTTGCCCGTGGGTGTGTCAAAATGGCTCGATAGCACCCCCTGCAAATTTAAAAAAAAACCAGTCTGGTGTCCTGTTTCGTGGACATGAATGAAAATTGGCAGGCATATGTATCATGTCAGGACGTACAAAAAATACTCTTGGAGCCATATTATAAATCCCACAGGAAGTCGGCCATTTTGAATTTGAACCATCTGAATTTTATGAACTCCTCCTAGGGAACTAATTAAATCGACTACAAATTTGGTCAGCACATTCTGAAGACCTCCAGGAATAAAAGTTTTGCTCTTCATGACTATACGAATTGAACGCTGTGTCTGTGGCGTGGTGTGAAAGATTACATTTTGCCATGATATAGGCATTGATTTTTAAAAATCACCCCCGGCATCCTGTTTAACTGGCATGTATGAAATTCGGGTGGCACATGTATCACATCAGAATGTACAAAAAAGCCTCTTGGAGCCATATGCTAAATCCAACAGGAAGTCAGTAATTTTGAATTTAATGTAAAACTCTGACGTCTTTTCCAGCAATTTTAGGGCTTCTATTTTAACAAACTCCTAGGTAATTGATCAGAACGACTTCAAAATTAGTGAGTACAATCCAGAGAAGTTCAGGATGGTACGTTCTAAAATCTTTACATTCAGTGAAACGGTGTGTCCGTGGTGTGCCTTGAAAAATCAGCGTTGACATGATAATGGAAACCTTAATCCTACCGCTAAACCTAATTGCAGTACAGACTCTCCATTTGGACCCAAACTTCACAAGTTTGTTAAGAGCCCTGGCCTAAACACATCTAAGTGCCAATATTCAGCCGATGTCATCACGCCACCTACTACCAAAAGGAAAGGAAAAGGAAGTAAGCCTTGTATGGCGATTGTGATGGGATTTCTATGAAATTTTCATAGCTTGGTGTTGGCATGATATACTGGTGTGTAACCGGACCGTTGCACACCCCGACGTGTGTGGAGTGCGAGGGCCCGTTCAATGCTGCTTACAGCTTTATTTTAAAGCTTTCTATTTTAAAATATTTTGCACAATAAAAAACACACACAACTGTCATGCATTCGGATTTCTTCACAATATGTGTTAAGCATTTTGCGTAACATTTTGCTTGCCTGAAAAGTGGTATAGAAATAAAATCAGACTGATTCTTAAAAAATCCTGTGATACATCTTTTTGGTCATCATGACATGATCTTATGATATTATCTTATCTTATATCTCTTATGTTTTTTCTTTTTGGCCTTTTTTATTTTTTTTTGCAATAAGTTAATGTGTGTTACAATAGTAAGCGATTAAAAAAATATCTTAAGGTGCTTCAGTCTTAGGTGTGACATAGACTGTGCAAGTAGGGCCTATTTCTACATGAATCATGCAGTCATAAGTACAATTTTCTTATTTGTTTTCAGGCAGGAGGTCGAAGATCAAATGTACTGGATTCAGAGTCAAAGCCAAGTCAATGGATAAGTAATTATTAATTTTGTGCTAACTTGGTTGTACATTATTTTTTATTATGCAACAATTATTCTTTGCTCAGTTTGCCCCCTATAAGGTGGTGGTACCTCAGTAGAAGTGTTAATGGCAGTTATAGGAATCACGGCACAGAGATGTCACATCTATACGATGGTTAAGAAAAAACAAAAACAACTTTATTTCTTAAGGAAACTTAAGAAAGCTAATTCTGTGCCAAGTTCGTGTTAACTTTTACAGAGCAATAAAAAGCATCCAGACTGGAAACATCACCAACTGGCATGTGATGTGTATGGCCCAGGACAGGAGGACTTTTCAGCAGGAGATTAAAACCGCCCAAAAGATCATTGGTACTCAGCTACCCAGCATCAGTGATATTAGAGAGGTGTGGTATCTGTGCAGAGCCCAAAAGATACTAAAAGACAGCGCCCGACCAGCCACAACCTGTTCACCCTGCTGACATCTGGGAAGCTGCTGTACTACCAGACTTAAAGACAGCAGACTCAGGCTGTGAAACTGTTAAACCTTGAACCCTAATAGTTTCAAACTATCATCAAACTCTAAATGCTAGAAAGTCTTTGCTCATAATTAAGCAAGCAGTTTAAAACTTGATTATTGTGATAATTCAAAAAAATTTGAAAAAGTTGAATTCTGAATAATAGTTCAAAGTGTGGTTATTTTGGCCCATACCATATATGCTTATATGCATGTTAATAAGCAAGTAGTCATTGGTGAATATGTGTACTTTAATATAAAGCAACACTTTATAATTTACCAAAATAACTAATGTTCTGAACAATGCAGTTTTGTCTCTAAGTCTGTATATTATTTATTATTATTTATTTAGAGCAATCATGTGGTCCATGTCTGCCATCAGGTCAAATATTTCAGCTGACACATGACATAATACTCACATGGGGTCAGGGGCCTTAACAGGCCATAACAACATGAACTCTCTTCATTTTTAAGACCTCACTACTAAACAATGTGGATCTACTTGAAAATGAACATTGTACTTGACTCAGACACAATGCCCAACAGCACAGACTGCTTTCAGATGGAGAAAAACATAATTTCCTAAAAGCACTCAGTTTTATTTGGTTACAGGTGATGTAGCTGTGCTTAATATGAATCACATTTCTAGCTGTGAAGAAAAAGAAATCAGCGTAAAAGCTACCAGCTTCAGCCAATGAAACTGCACTGTGGAAGCCAAACATATTTTTTTTCCCTGTATGAACACCCAAAGCACAATCACCATAAAAAAAGGAAAGTACAGTACTCATAATAAAAAAGGACCAAATCCAAAAAGAAGAGGAGATAAAATAAGACATCTATACAAAGTGTATCTGGCATCTGCTGGGAGGCTTGATGTTCACTGGGAGTGAAAGGAGATTATGTTAAAGCCTAAATGAGGCTTTTACATTTTGTCAAATCCTGCTGGCATAATCTAATCTTATCCATCTCAATCCAATTTTTAATGCTGGCTACACATAGGATTAAAGTAGTGCAGTTTGCTTTGTAGGCCATTTGACAGTGGAGCAGCATCTGTTGCTGATGGCTGGAAGATGTGCAGGTTAAAGTGGGAGAGATCACGAGCAGAGGAAAGGTCAAGCTGGGTTTGATGTTTACAGAGGCAGATCTGTAGGAGCAAAAATAATTGATTGAATTACTGTTGTGTTGAGGACAGTGGTGACTATGTTAGCCATATGCTTTTAATCATTGTATTGAATGATTAAAATCTATATAACATCAAAAGTATCTATCTTCATGGTTTTTCTAATAACATTAATATAACATTTTGTACTACGTTTTCTCTTGCCATGGTATGCCAAATTAGCTGTTTTATTTTTGGGGGTGGGGTGGAGAGGAGGTACGATTTAGAGGTATGCTTAGGTAGGTATTTCTGGGTTTGTAGTGTTTGCCTCC